TATAAGAGTATCAGAGTAAAAAACTGCAGCACTTGGAGCTGAGCTATCTTGGAGGAATCACCCTTACCTCAAGCTCTGACGAAGACGCGCCACCGTCTCAGGGAGCAATTGCCCTGGGTCTCCGAGTTTTAGAGTCTTTGCTTTGACTGAGCGTTGTTTGAGCTGTGCACCCCTCAGCTTTCTGACAATTCCCTTGGCTTTAAAGTACCCGGGTACTTAGGAGTGCCATTCTCCTTTACCTCACGGAGGACATCCGCTGCCGATAGAGGCTCGGTGACTCCTGCTTTTTATGACCCCCTCTAGGGCCATAGGCGAGAAAATGCGCGTTTGTGGTCGCCTCGACAGTGCAAGTCACCTCGGCTTCAAAAAAGCGCCTTCTGGCACATGGAGACTTTTTCAAATGGTTTAATTACCCAAGTTTCCAGAAGACCTTAGGCATGCAGCAACCTTAGGTATCTAAGGCGGGCCTAAGGTTGCTGCATGCTCTCTAGCCCCGAAGACCTCTCGGCGAAACGTCAAGGGGGTGTAGTTATAATAAATCTATATAATAAGAATAATATAATGATATAATATCATAAATCATTAGCAATTAGCACAATTTTCATCATATAAAAGTCCTCAATCAAATCATCTCATTTTACATCTTTTTGAACAATTTTCGATCCATTTTGGTTGATGTTTCGTTGAGATTTCGCTCCGATTCGGCTCAAATTTGGTTAGTGGAAGAGTCACACTCACAGTCACACGATCACACTCGATATGAGTCTGGGTTGTACGACTTTCAAAAGCTTTGCTGTGACTGTTTGGTCGGGTGGTAGAAGCTCGAAATATACAAGGCCCTTGTTATTCCACCATACTGAGAGCATGACCATTTTCCCATGAATGTCCGGTTTCACGGTCAGATTTGGTCGTTCTCCTGGTCCTAGCCATTGCCGTTTTTGAATAGTATTATCGAAATGGATCCACTTTTCATCTCCAGTAACGAGAGAATCAAAAAAAGCCATGATCTTTAGCGTGACGGATGAGAATTCCGGAAAATATTGATTATAGCTTAATTTCGTCTTGTGTTAAAAGACTTTTGCACCACCATTTTCAGGGCTGTTTTGACAATTATTTTTTTTTCTCGATGAGGAAGTTTTGTATAGCGACAGCGTTTGTGTAAATAAATTGTACATATATTTGTGTAACTAAAACTATTGACAGCCTAAAGAGCGCCATGAACTTTATCAGAGAAAATCGATGTAACTTTTTAGAAAATTGAGTGTTAAAAGACTTTTGCACATGACTGTATAACTTTATCCCTGTTACTAGTCAATCAGTCTAAGGTTGCGAGATAATCATTGTTGATATATTCGCTCATTCAGATTCCCCCTCGCGTATCTTTATTGTTTATCGTCCCCCACATGTTAACAACCAGGGCTCTTTCCATCTTTTTACATTTCTTGAAGATTACTTGCTACCAAATCATCCAAATTTCCTTCTTTTAATTTTCCTTTAACTGTTTCTCTAGGACTTTTACCTAATTTATCGCGTTTTCCACATTTAGAAAACTTCCGGTCAGCCAACAGTTTAGAAATTTGAAACAAATTCCCTACTTTCAGGAAAAGTTCGCATATTTTGGACCTAGTTTTAACCGATTCCCCTCGTTTAATTTCGGCTATTTCACCATGTCCTCCCATTGGTGGTGCCGCCCATTTTTCTATGTCTTTTAATTTAATTCTGCATCATTTTACCTCTCTAAAAGGACCGGATGATGGTAACCGTGCCTTTTGGAGAGGTAATTTCGGTGCTATTTGTCTTTCTTTAGCGCTCTACAATGCAAGGTCTCTTCCCCGATTGGAGATAGACATCAACGAGTGTTATGCTGACTTCTTTGAAGAGATGAAATCGCTGTTGGACGAAAATGTACCTATTTCAACCAGGTCTACCTTTTCTTACCCCAGTCACATATCTCGAGCTAGGCAAAGGTTAGAAACAGCATGACGTTATCGCGATCCCCCCATTACGCATATCTAGAAAACAAGCTTACTAAGTTTGTCAAGAAATTTGAGGCCAATATTGAACGGAAAACCGTTTTTAGTCCTAGTCCCAAAGCTTTTTACTCATACGTCTATTCTAAGATTGACCCAAACCACGATTCCTCTATTAAATGTATATTTGATCCCCATCGCAACTTCGCAACTCGAAAATCACAAAATTGCTAATTCCTTTGCTCAATATTTCTCCAGCGTTTTCGTAATTGACGCTGGTAGTTGCATCCCTGCTCTTCCCGCCCAGCACATACTTGCGCAGCCCTAATCGTCACACCAAGACTTGTCGAAACAGCAATTAGTAAGCTTAGCAATAAGATTTCTTACACCCCAGACGGAATTCCCTCTTTTGTTATACGGAAAACTAAGTTTCAAATAGCACCACTACTTGCTAAACTTTTTAATCTGTCACTTCTAACGGCTAAGATCCCTAAATTTTGGAAAGACTCAACGATTTCGCCACTTTTTAAGAAAGGAGATCGGAACGCGCTTGCAAATTATAGACCCATCGCGCTCACCTCCTCCATTTGTAAAGTCTTAGAAATAATTATTCGCGACCACATTATTCATTATCTAAATGAACATAATCTAATTGATAAAAATCAATTGGGCTTTCTTAAAAACCGTTCTACCTCGGACCAGCTTGTTCTCTGCGCGCATGACTGGCTTCTAGCTAAAGCCAAAAACGATCAAACTAGCTGCGTTTTCATTGATTTTTCCAAAGCATTCGATTCTGTTAATCATAGATTTTTAATCGCCAAATTAAATTCACTAAGTCTCCCCATATCCATCACTAATTGGATTACAAATTGGCTTACCGAAAGGACATTTTGCGTCCGCTTAGGCTCTACTTTTTTGAATGACTTCCCCATTAGTAGCGGAGTGCCCCAAGGGAGCGTTCTTGGTCCTCTTCTGTTCCTTATTTATATTAATGACATTGAGAGTTCGATCTCCCTAGGCACAAAAGTCCGACTCTACACCGATGACCTTAAGATTTATAGGGTACTTACGTCCCAGAACCCCATCCCAGAGCCCCATCCCTGATTTTACTCTTCTCCAGAAGGACCTTGATTCGATCCTTCTGTAGAGTAAATTTTGGAAACTTAACATTGCGCCGGACAAATGCAAACACGTTACATTTGGTTCATTACATATCCCTTTAAAATTGGGGGACCTACAATGGCCACAAGGATTGGCCGATGATCCTGTAAAGGTCTTGGTATAATGTTAGTTCCCTCTCTAAAATTTATAGAAGTTCACCTAGTCATCCTTATCAAATTTCGGTCGGTTCTCATCTCCATCATCTTTCCCTTTATCATTCTTTTGCGAACCGTATTAGTAGGGTTTGGAATAAGCTCCCGTCTGGTAACTTCTCGTCTGTAGGAAAATTCAAAGTATCTGTGAACGAATTAGATCTTATTGCCATGTCAAATCTGCCCTATATTTAATCATTTTGTATCTGTGTTTCCTAACTGTAGTCTTACTGTACTATCTTTAGTTTTCTCTCTTTTTTTTGGTGAAAGTATTTTTAGTAATATGTTATATGCGGTTATGATTATTTGATTCGCTTCTATTCGCCCCATGAATAAAGCATATATATAAAGTCGCATATTCGACATCTTTTCTCTATTTTCGCTCATTCTTTATTCGTTTCATTTCATTCGATTCTTAAATTTCATTGCATATTTCTTCAGATCGATGGATACTCCGCCTCGTCATTCAAAATTTCAGAAGCTGAGGGTTGTGTTGATTCTATGCCTCGTCAATCTACTCAAATATGCTGATCAATCCACAGTGGCAGGTGCTTTTTTATACGTAAACATTCATAGAAAAAGCTTAAACGATTTTGGTTCTTTATTAAAATTTGATCTAAATGTGATATAAAAATGTACAACTTGGATTTCTTTCTTTCTATTTCTTTCTAGACTAACACAAAATACAATTGGTATAATTTCAGTTCTTTCATAAATTTCTTTCTTTTATCAAATCGACGATAGTGGGGTTGGATTACTTCAAACGGTTTTTATCCTCCCTTCCACGTTGTTCATTCCAATCTATGGATACTTGGAAGTTAGGTAAGTATAAAATGGATAGAGTTCTTCAGCGGAAAGTTTCTTTTAGATACACACGTAAATGGATTATGGTTGTCGGAATACTAGTATGGGTTCTGGCCGTGTTCGCATCAACATTTGTGGCTAAAGAGGTAAATTGAATTAACTTGCGATAGATGACAACGTTTATTTAGTACTTTTGGCTGTTTTTCCTTATGCGCAGTGTTGTCGGAATCGGTAAAGCCTCATCTGCGGTCGTTTCTCCTACGATAATTGGTGATATGTACATTGGAAAAGCGCGCTCATGGATGTTGATGTTGTTCTATATGGTCAGGCCATTTGGAAGGTTTGATGCATTTGAATAAGGCAAGTAAAATATTGTGCGCTTCAGTGGAATTGGTTACGTCTTTGGATCACAAATGGCAAGGCGACTGGGAGGATGGCAAATGGCAATGAGGTTAATAGCGTTATTTGGTGCGTTTATATAATATCTATAATTGTTCCAATTCAATTTAATTTTTAAAGTTTGAGGCGTGGTTTCTGTCATTCTGATTGTATTATTTGTATTTGAACTAGAACGAGGACTTAATGAATCATGGGTAAATTAAAGATATTTCTATTGATCTTTTTACTTTTAGAACCCTACAGGCAAGGACGATAGAGGAAATGCACCTTTGAAGGTAAAAATCAAGACGTACTTTTGTGATCTGTGGGCCCTCATGAGAAAGTAAGGTTTAAAAACGCTTTGTCAAAAAGGTTGTAAATTTTAGTTGCACCTACCTTTTCTCGACAATTGCCTATACATGCATTGTTTTTATGACTGGCACAGTTTCATGGTAAGATTCTAAATGGTTCAACCGTATTTCTTTTTATTTTAAGGTGGGTTCCTACAGCAATTTAACATGCCAAAGCTCACGAAATGAAGCTCAATTCCACAAGTCTTCTGGATGAAAATGATAAAGCGAAGTTAGTATACAACAATTTCAATCAAATAATCGATAACTTTAGTATTGCTATCTACTTTGGAATCGTCACAATTGCTGGTGAAATCGTTGGAGTAACCATGGATTCAACTTTGTCAACGGTATGACATCTTGCTTTCAATGTTCACATCTCAAATAATTTCTAGTTACTGCGTAGTGGAAAGCTATGCTTCAAATGCTGTCAAACAAAACGATCCGATCCAATCATTTGTGCGCTTGGAATGTTTATCGCAGCTCCATTTCTTTTTGGTGGATTAAAACTCATGAAAGTGTCTGTCGAGGCTAGCTACGTATGTTTATTTTCCGTTAATAAGTTAATAATTCGATCAACGAAATACTTATTTCACAATGAAGCAGCGATAATCCCCATTCAGTTCGTCATAAATTAAAATTCTTTATTCTAATTTAGATCTTCCTGTTCGTTGCTATTACCAGACTTTGCTTCAATTCGGCCATCAAGGTTGATCTACAAATGACGACTATTGTTCCATGGAGGTTCGTTCATATGAATCTTAGATTACACTCAATACTTTAGGCGTAATCCAGCAAAGGCATGGCAAATTCTGATTTCACATTTGTTCGGTGATGCATTTGGACCATATCTCGTTGGATTGGTAATGCATACAGTATCTGCTAAACTTTCTTGTGTTTGTTTAGCTTGCTGAGCTAAAAACATTGAGCGACTGACCAAGAGATTTATTTGATGCTTTATTATGTGCTTTGTTATACGCCTCGACACTTTGTGCAATTTCGGTGAGTTGTTATAATAATGACAATCAAAACTGTTTCAATTTAGGCATTGTTTTTTCTAATTGCTGCGACTACAGTATTAAGAGATCAAGCAAGATTCCTGGTTGAAATTGGTATGATTTTTTGATTTTACTGCTATTTGTTAATCACTTTAGGTATGTTTACAAAATAGGTGCCGTATTTTTTATCCATTTTGTGTTTACTTGATCAATTTAGCGTCAAAAACGGCGGCTCCGGTTACTGTGGAGGTTGTGAAAGCCAAAATTCAACCAGATAACAACTCGCTCGGACACAGCAAGGGGAATAATACAGGACAATCACGTTGGGACACTGCAACTATCACAACGCAACAGCAGTCGCTTCAGCCAAGCCAAAACAGAGGGAAACACACACGCCCCATTCAGCAACAACCCAAAGATTTAGTAACTACTAGAAGCCACTTTTTTGATAGTCCTAACAAATTTAGTCCGTGAATTCTGTAAACCTGCCTCCACCTGAAGCCATTGACTGCAACAGTGTCACAAAGTGGGCTTCGGTCAACTTTTCTAAGAATGCTTTTAGTTTTTATTTGGAAAGTGGTCATAATCTCAAAGTCGATAGACCGTCATCCTACAAATGGCCGTGAGTTTTTTCTTTTCAAAAAACATTTATTTTGATTTAGTGCTTCGCTCGTCGAACATGAAGCAAATAGCAGCGTAAAGTTAGTTAATTTTGTTAGCTGAATTATTTTTTATCGAGGGCTAAGACTATGGGGCAGACTGGGAATCGAGCATGGGACAAGAACTAAACTTTATGTATTTCGTGCGGAGCTCAAATAAATCTTTTGTCTGATTTTTCATATTATTTCACAGCAAAAGATCAAAGCGATCAAATAACTTCTTCGTGAGGAGCAATCATTTCAATGATGATCTTTACATTGAATTCCGGGCGGCTCAAGTGAGGAGCGGGGATCTGAGATACGAGCAACTGACTTCTATCTTCCTTCAGGCTCACATTCCGCTTGTTAAGAAGGAAGTATTTGAGGAGGAAGGCGAGATTCTTTACTATCATCGGCCTCCCCATGCTTTTCGTTATCAAATTGTTATCACAAACCAAAGTTTGTGTACTCTAGAGAAATTGTTTTTGTGATAGTCAAGTTGTGCAATTTCATGATATATCTCCCATTTTCTCAGGTTTCTCATTTCAGCCTTTTCTGATTACTACTTGACAACTAGATCCTTAAGGTTTATTCACTGAAAAAAATGTGATTTTTCTGACCAATATCTGACGGATAAATAAATGACGCTTCATTTCCATACTCCCAAACAATTTTTTTCACAAATGCTGACTAGATTCTTGAAATCACAATGCTTTTTTTAAATCTCTAATGCAAAAAAAGTTATGGATCGAAACCTCGAAAAACCCGATTTTTCATTGCAAACCGGGTTCTCAGCTCTAGAAAACGGTAAGGACGAGCCACAACCGATTTTCACTTTTTGAATCGGGATATTGAAATAAAACACCTTTTCTATACTTCTATCGAGGATAGTAGAACTTTTAAACGATCCTCAGGGAGCCTCAGTGAGTCCCTCCGAAACGATGTGGTAAATCGGGTCAAGCTTCTTGGCCAAGTTAACGTTGTGGTTGATTGGAGGTGGCCGTAGAGGAGAAAGAGGTAACGGATGAAGCGGATCTTGTTGGAACGGTGGCTATCCATTTCAGATGTAGATAATACTTCTCGGGGTTCTTCGGATCGGTAGATAAGGGCACGTCAATTCTCGAAGTGAACACAGAAAAGTCCTTCAAAAGCTTTGTCCTTCAAAAAAGAACAATAACGCAAATAGGTAGTTTCACGGTGAAAGGAATCGTGCGGAAACGGCAAAGAAAAAGAAAAAAGATTGACCAAAGTGAGGTCGGAAGGCATAGACGTGGAAGAATCCTCGATTTTTTTCGTTTTTCCTTTCTTTCATTCTGTTTTGCAATATTGCTTTCGTAGCAAAAATTCTGAAACCCACGGAAAATGAAGGTATTCGGTGCACTAGAAAGGGGTGCGTTTACAAGTTGGGGCAAGAAGTACAAGTTCTACAAGTTCTGTAACACTAGAAAAATTCGGCCGTGAACTGAGGAAAAAAAGCTCGACATCACGCGCTTCACAGATCGTCTGTGAAGACGTCTCGGTTCTCAATAAACTCAATAAACTCTTGCGTCGACCATCGAATTCGTGCGTTGTTGACGCAGGCGCCATTAGTTGTCGCCTCTAGTTGTCAAGTTGTCAAGTCCATTTTGGGTCCAATGAACCGTACGTTCTTTCCTTTGCCGGCGTCCACACAGCTGGCAATGTTGCAACAGTATCTTCAACTGTGAACCAATACGAATTCTGGGTCTTCGTGGACGTGATTTTCTTCTTCTTGATGCTTTCTTTTTTTCTGCATGCAAAGAATGGCCGCGTGGAGGCACTGAGTTATTCAACGAGGAAGTGATGGACATCTAAATGAAATAGATGAAAAGCCGGAAATAGAAACATGGTGAAATAAATAAATCAATAAATCAGTCTAAAAATCAATAAAGCTTTGATCAACCAATGTCCATCACTTCGTCGTTGAACAACTCAGTGCCTCCACGCCGTCATTCTTTGCATGGAGAAGAAAAAGAAATCATCAGGAAGGAGAAGATCCCGTCCACGAAGGCCCAGAATTCGTATTGGTTTAATTCAAGCAGTTGAAGATACTCCTGCAACATGCCCGGCTGTGTGGACGCAGTCAAAGGAAAGAACGTACGGTCCATTGGACCCAAAATGAAACGATTTTGGCGGCAATAACTTGATGCGCCTGCTTGAATAACGCATGAATTCGATGGTCGACGCAAGAGTTTATCGAAACGACCGAGATGAGAACGGGTAACATCGCTTTGACGGCTGCAGTTCACTTTGGAACCTAGAGGTAAACTTTGGAAATAAAATTTTTGGCCTACTATTTTTTGTTTTAGGAAAATTAAGTGAAGCTAGAGTTTATGCGTCATCGCTATGTCAGATTCAAATGCACAAATGCCTCATCATTTGGCTCGAAAAGCCAAAATTTGCAATTTCACGCAGTCATCAGCCATTAGCAGTCAATTCTGAGAAAATCGAGCCGAACTGACTTTTTTTGCAACACCCTGTATATAGGGCATCCTATGCAGTGTAAGCTAGATCTTTCTAGTCTACCTAGACACAGGAAAATTCCAACCCGAATGTTCTCTTTGATAGGTGCCAAGGATATCCAAGAGAGCCAAAGATTTAAAAAGCAGTAAAAGCTTTGGGTAATCAGTGGAAACATGTAAAACTACCTCAATATCAGCGTTTGCGCGTTCTACACTCCTTTTTAACTACGAATGTCGAGGTGTTCCGTGAATTAATTGACAATTTGTTCAACTCTCAACCAGACTTCAATCGTTTTGTTTGCAAATTCTCTCCCATTATCTAAAAAATCATTTGAAATCTCTTATTTAAAAGTTTCTGTTTCAAAAATACCTGTTTGCAAAAGTTTTCACCCGCCAAGAATTCCGGATATTTCTTTTAGCTTAACGCAAACTTCTTGAGCAGTTTTGGCTTTCAAAGGCCGCAATAACCCTTGTCTTTTGTCTTTTGTCATTTTATCCTAGATTTTTTACAAAAAAACAATTTGGTTTTTGATAAAAAAGCCTGACAAACCATAATCAACTTAAAGGCACCATTGGGCACTGCTTGCAAATCAAGGAGATCAAGATGACATCTTTCGTTTGGTATTTGGTAAGAATTCTCCCAACAACTACAAATTTCAACAAAATTTCTTTAGACCACAATTTTTTCCAAACAATAGCACCATCATTATCATAGCCTGCCTCCAACGTTGCTTCAAATTGTGGACAAACTAACAATGATTCGGAGACCGAAGAACTAACAATGATTCGGCTTATATGGGAATTCGATCGCCCATTTGAAGAGTACTTTTTCGCCACCGAATCCTCAAGTATTATTTGTTAATCCAAGAATTTCTTGATTCTTAAATTGATTTATTGATTTATTCTTTTCACAATGTTTCTATTTTCCGCTTTTCATCTGTGTCTTTTAGATCTCCATCACTTCCTCGTTGAATAACTCCGTGCTTCCACGGCGTCATTCTTTGCATGCAAGTTGATGAAAAAGAAATTGCAGTTTTTAACAAATATTAAATTTAATCAAAATCTCTTTAATCAACCTGGCTGCAACGTTCATTTTGTCGTAGCTACGAGTGAGAACAGCGACTTCCTTCGCTCCAATCGATTCGATACACTTGCTCATTGCGCATCCAACCACACTGCTGTCTCATCCCAAGCAAAGACGAGCTTGAAATTTCTATCGTCGATCGTTTTGTTCGTCAACTGGATGTGGTTGACGATGGCCTTCTCGAATTAGCTTGCCGTCTTTTGACATGTAGTTGTTGGAGCCTGGAGAATTGGTGCTACTTCAAGAACGCTTCCATCCATCCGTGGCTTCTCTTGAAAGGAATCGATTCATCAGCAAATCGATTTCCTGCCCATTCCAAATGATTCGACGGATTGCTCGTTTCTTTTCGGCTCGGATCCATAGAGCCAAACGGACATCAATCCCCTCGGAATTCAAGTGACCCCGGCTCCATCAAGTCTCTTACGTTTCCCCTGAATCTTTTCAAGCCCGGAATCTTCTATATCGAATCAATGGTGATGTTTTGCGTTTTCTAAAAAACTTTAAATTTAACGAAAATTCCTTTAGATTACAATTTATTCTAAACAATAGCACCATCATGATCATAACATCCCTCCAACGTTGCTTCAGATTGTGGACAAAATAATCGAAGAACTATCAATGATTTGGCTTAAATGGGAATTCGATGGGAATCAAACCAACGGTGTAAGATCTTACTGTAGTGTAGGTCCACACTTTTCCAGGAAGGTTTCATGTGTTATACCAGTAGTGTAAC